GAAGTGATCTAGAAGAACTGATCGGAACTGAGTACTGGGGACCATGTCGGGGATGTACATGGGAGTCCTACCAGAGACTGACAAAACTGCAGCTTTACAAGTGCAAGTACATACACGCCCTCCACATTCCCGAATTCGTCAGAACCTTTCCAGCTCTGAAAGAGCTGTTCGTCTCGGAGTGTGGGTCGATGTCTGACAGAATATTTGGCCATCATCCAGTGGGCTGGCACCTCAAGTCAGACGCCCTCTGCAACACCCGAAACCCCCTCGAAGTACTTCACATTGATCATGTCAAAAGCTTGGAGGTGCGGGCGCTGGGTGTCATTCCGACCAAGGTGCTGGTGGCGACCTGCTTTACCCCATCTCTTTTTCAACGAGAGTTTGTGAGGAACGAGCACCTCTATCCCAAGCTCCGCCTCTTGCGCCTTCAACAGAGCGACTTGTTCTCGACCGAGGGTGCCGCCAAGGGATCTAGAGCCATAGCTATGGAGAAGATGGGCGCCGCCAGGGGCTTCGAAGTTCGATGGAATGCTATCCCTGTAGAAAAGTGTCATTGCTGTGACACGGAATGGTTTTGATTCATGGCGATTGATTGGATGACCAGCCAGCTGGCATGAGGCAGCGGTCAGTTCACCATCAATCAGGGTTTTTTTCGTCCAGCAGGGCAGAATACGGAAGATTTAGTCTCTCTTATATTTCTAGTATTTTTGTAATGATGGGGTTTTACTCGGTTCGTTCAGATGAAGAGGCTGCAAAATGCGCTAGCAAATCAGATGTCGGCGCGATTGAATTGACAACTTGCTTTCGACTTCCTCCTGAGGTAACGCTGTAAACCAGCTCTTTACCATTGAGAATATTGTATTTGGATTGACTACATCGTGTGTTCCACTCTCCTGGTTCACCGTATCAGATCCATGAACTCGTCGGATACAGTCAACAGATGGCATTCTCCTTGCGTATACCACTCTCAACCCTTCAACTGAGGCATAGCCGCCTATCTAATCCTGA